ACTTGAAATACAAGAGTTTAAGAGAAACGCTCGACCTAGAGCCAGGATTCTGTAGTGACCATACAATAATCATGACCCCATTAACATTCTTCAACCGTAATCCTTTTCATAAATGAAGGACATCGTACATCATGCACTATCATTATTTTTTTATCCAAACATGCGTATCCGCTATATCTTCAAAAGTTCACTATGAGTCAGTCAAGTATTTCCTCAGCGTCAGCTGGCCGAATGCTCTCCGTTTCATGTCTTCTTTAGAGGCGCACGGGCCGTCACTGTACACGAACTCCCAGCCTTTCAGGGGCTTGTTTCCGTACCAAGTAGCAAATTGGGGGAAATTCGACAGCAAGTTGATGCCCTCTGTTTCAAGTTTCAAAACTGGATACAGCTGATACGAAAGCCGTTCGTAGAAACCCAGTGTGGTTGCTAGACACAGTAAGAACATTACATCCCAAGTTGTCGTATGCATAACGCTCGGCAAGCTTCATCATTTTGTACCCAAGCCCTAGACCTCGCCTGGATGGATGCATACAGATGGCCTCCAAGTATGCACTTCGCGGCGTTTTAGGACTCGTCACAGTAACTAACCGTACATGTCCAACGACGACATCCGGGGCGTCCTCCCTGTGCTCGATGAGGAGTAGACAGCATGGCAAGCCGCTGGTCTCCTCTTCCGCCATTCGGTGTAGTCTCTCTGGTTTGCTCCACGGCCACGTGATTTTTATAAGCTCTGCACATGACTCGATCAGGTCTTGGCGGGCGTGAAGGGGGCTCAGTGAAACGTTCGAGCTACGTTGCGCCATGATGAATTCGCCGCTCCAGATTACAATTAAATGCTATAAATATTAATTGTCCTTGGTTGCACTGTACATATTCAATCAAGGTAAACGCATGGCAAGTAGAATAAGTCATGACACTCATTCAATCACACGTACTATTGTTGCCTCACTCCAAAGGCTGTAACACACCCGGGAACGAAGTTGAAGTCAGTCGCCAGTTCACGTAAACTTTTCACATCGTGTGGACGTATTGGTATGTCACAGGCACTGCATGACTAGTCTAGTCGGAATTAAACTCCCGTGTTCATCGTCCAAATCGTTATATGTGTGTGTTAATTCACCCCCAGGTTGTAAAGCTTTACTTTCTTTCACTGAACCCAATTATTGTCCTTGGTTAAGTCCAGACAGTGGACCTACATGGTGCTATACTTGGTGCATGTGTAGTTCCGGCATTGGCTCGATTGTTTTGGAGGTCAACTGAGGTACAATAACACCAATAGGCCCACCCATTCCAAAATTTGTATCCCTGTGGAGAATTCTTTGTTCTCGTGTATGCCTTTCACTGACCACAAATTGGTATCCTTGTGGAGACTCACACACAATACGGAACAAAACATTGTAAAGGTCTCCACAGGGCAATTTCTATAGATGAATAGGTCTCCACAAGAATTTCACGAAAAAGATATATGGGTTTTACTCAAAAACTAGGAATTTCCAAGGTGGGTTGATCCGTCGCAACTGGAAGAGTTTTAGAAAAGGGACATTAATTCCAAATTTCAGCCAAGGAAACTAATTCTGGTTAAAATAAGAGCATTTTGAAAATTCACTTTCAAAATTGAACACTTTACTACACGAAAGGCATCCCCCCCCCCCCCCCCCCCCCCCACACACACACACACACGCACAGGATGGCCTTGGAAAATCTTTCACTCGTCATTTCCAAGCCCTTGCAAGGGCCTATTATGTTTCAGATAAAGATATATTTGTAATATCAAGCACTGTCTATGACAAGTTAACTTCCATACATTTCCACATTTTACTGCAATTAAAGAGTCCTTTAATGTAATAAACTCGTATTCTATCAAGCTAAAGCAAAAAGCGCATTAAAAAAGAGATAACTTGATAATAAAATGCTCATTCTATATGTGCCATAAACAAGCGTTAAGAAAATTTGCATTGAAAAGAAGACCACTCTTGAACTAATGAATAACTGTTCTAAGTTTTTTTTTTCACTCGTTAATTATAATCGGCCAGTATCATCCAAACAATATAACAAACTATTGTTACACAATTTAACTATTGTTACACCAAAATGAATAGGAATAGCGACAACACGAATTAACAAAATTCAATGAAGTTAGATTAAAAAGTCAAATAAGTCGCAACTATAAAGCATAATTTTACAGCCTCTGCCTACTTTCGACCACAATGTTATATTCACACATATACTAATGTATATTATGTACAATATTATGTACAATTATCTTTCTCTGCAAATTGATACGACAAACGGTTAAAGGCAGAAATAGATCGTTAATTTTGCAGCTATCCAAAAAGTAACTGACGAAAGATATTGTTGAAAAGCTTTGGTTTAAAGATGGGGATGCCGAATAACTCCCTGTGAAATTATTCATTCTAGCATGGTGTCAAGTTGAAGAAAACAATAAAAGAACACAGTAGGCCATTCCCAAAGGTGCGTTCGTTAGTAGTTGGTTTGTAATTCGGCGTATCCGTCATTACGGACACACTCTCGCAAAATGTGGTCCGGCAGCTTTCTATACAAAAACCTCGTTGGCTCGGGGTTTTGTATGTAAACCTTATCAGTCAGCCGATCACGCTCAATTGACTTCAGCCAAACCGCAGTCCCATCACAAGAAATAAGTTAACAATGTTATCCGGACCATTTTTTCCAAGAGTGTGTCTCTAATGCAGACAGTGAAATACTAAATTCGTCTCTTCGTGAAAACGGTGACGATCTGTTACATAAGCATGTCTTCTTTTTCTTGACACCACGAACTCTATTTTACCGTCACGGATGACTGAGCATCAAGTGATGTATAAACGGACATGCCAGAAATGGCCTTGTACCACATGCACCGTAAGACCAATTGACAGTTTTCAACATGTTGAAAATAACAAAATCCGGGACGTACATTATCAAAGTCATATATTCAATTGCTAAAACATACCAAGGTTTATCACTGTCCCTGTTAACCCCACTGTCCTTCAACATGCTCCCATTCCTTTCAACGCAAATCTCTGCCCTGGTTCTCATTGCTGTGAACGCATTCCTGATAACGTCTCTCTCTCTCTGATAACTGTCAATTGGTCTTAATTTTTTATGGTGCATGTGGTACAAGGCCATTTTTGGCATGTCAGTTACATCACTTGGTGCTCAGTCATCTGTGACGGTAAAATGGAGTTCGTGGTGTCAAGAAAAAGAAGACATGGTTCTGTAACAGATGGTTGTTACCATAATAAGTCATACCCGAGGAATCAACAAAATAAGCTCGGTTTCCTTTTTTTATTTGAAACACCCTGTATACCAAAGATTATATGTTATATTAACATTATCTTAAGCAAACGTTGATATCTGTAATGAAAGGACTTCCGAATATCTGTCGTACATCTGTAAAAATTCAATTCAACCTGTTAAAATGTATTGTTGTCATGATTATTTGCAAGTCGGCACTCTCATGCGCCCTCCGATGAACGTTATAGGCTTTATGCTCCATAAGCCCATACCAGTTTTGACATGATTTGGACATTTTTGACGGATGGTATGCCCAATTTTCATAAACTTGGTGTCAAAATAACTGCAAGACATCAGAACAACTGTCAGAGAAACTTGGCAGAATTGAATAAGTGCATTGCGACGATAGGAGCCAAAATGTACCTGAAGGGGGGTCGAGGCCCCGCCCCCTCCGCGCTCTTCGCGCCGCTCTTAAGTTAATTAGTCTGACCTATAATAACTTTTTAAGTTATAAATTCCTGTTCTACACGTGCCGAGGCATCAATAAAAATGGTTTCATTTTCCCATTTTAAATTTGAAGAACATTTGTACTGTTGCAATTCGATCTGTTAGTCAGCACTCTCATGCACGCTTTCATTTGCATACACTTTTCAATGGAAAAAGTTAACATTTGGATATACCTGTGTTTGAAAATGGATATTTTGTGACGTACGTATGCCACATTTCCATAAACCTGGTGTCAAAATAACCGGATACAGTTATTATCAGATACAGTTATTTTGTAGTTACATTATCCGTCGACACGTGATACATTATCGGATACAAATTTTACTACACTATCAGTCAATTTTTGCTACATTATCGGTTAGTGATACAATATCGGTCAATTTGTGATACATTATCGGTTGGTGATACGTTATCCGTTGGTTACTACATTATCAGTTGTAACAGGCCATACTCGAGCGCGAGCTAGACCAATCAGTGGGCGTATGGGTCACAAGGTCACACCGTGTTTGGGTTCCTCGCTCCGGATCCATGCTTTACATTGGCGACGATCTTTTCGCGTTGTGAAAAATGGAAGTTGTTGGAAACATTTGGTGTACATCGAATTCTTAAAATATTAATGGCATCACGTATACGAGATTTTTTGTAGATGAAGGTTCACTCTTTCGTTTGATTACCTTAACATTTGGGAGACTTTCGTCGTTCTCGAAAAAAACCCGGAAATTTCATGACTTAATTTTTAGTCGATTTGTCCGTGAAATAATACCGTCAAAATGCATCGAAATCCTTTTTTTTTTGAGAAAAAAATACCTTGATAGATGTATGAAGTAGGTCTTTAACTACCTAAAACAACTTTGTTTATTTGGATCAGGTTTGCCATGAAAATTGCGAATTTTGTGAAGCCCTTTTTACGGCCATCGTTCGCTGGCCTCGCGGTGCTGTAAGTTGTATGGACGAGAAAATAGAGCAGCTACGCATGACACGGCAACTGATTGATTGACGTTTGTGTGTGCTGTTTGCCTAAAGGCACTGACCCAAAACTTTGTCCCGTTTGCTATGAGCGTATACTTCTTTAAAGTGTGGGTTGTGACTATATGGAGGTGAAGTGAGTGATGTTTTGCCATTATATTTTGCCACTGAACTTTTGGTGCTCGCTTTTGTGTACGATACCACAGCGAAAGTGGAAGTGGATGTTTTATTCTTTATAGACAGGTTAGTCCCTGGTTTACCAGACTTTGTTTATTATGGGCAGGGTTCAAGCTAGTCGTTCCCACCAGGGCTGGTACGCAGTCCTCTGTCTGTTTGTCAGCAATGTGTTGTGGATGTGGCTCATCAAGGGTCTGGGAGTGATGTTACCAACACTACAACAGCAATTCGCGGCCCAAACTTGGCTGGTCGGCTGGATGATATCCATTGTTTCTACCGTCATATGTGTTTTCGGTAAGGTTTGAAATTATGGCATCTGAGTCACTTTCATGTAATGCTTGGTAGTGTTATAGCAGCACCCCAGGTAGCAAGCCCATGTGGGTGGCATATGGGCCCCATCGGGCCCAAGATATGGGTCCCATATGGGAGGACCCATATGGGCCCCAGATAATTTTGCACCCAAGATTCTTATGGGGCCCACATGGGCCAGCCAAGATAAACCCATATGGGTTATGTCTGGGGCCCACCTGGGCAAACATCTGGGTAAACTATGGGGGAAGCCCTAATGAATCCTGAATCTTACCTAATTACATTCCCTTCCACCATATCTCCATTTCCATTATATCACCTCCATACCCAAGTTATACTCCCTTTACATGCCCTGCTAATACATCCCCATAATCCCTCCCACTTTCCAACTCTACTTAATTCCCTACCCCTAATTGATCCTTTAATCCTTCCAAATAACATCTACAACCATAATATATCCCGTATTCACATCCCCCATACCCGTAATCACATCCCCATAATCATCCCTCTCTGTCCTTACTTACATCTTTCGTGTGCACACTTTCTATTATATGCCCAATAATTTCCATTTTCTAAACCACAGTTAGCAATTTTCAAGCTCCACCCATAGCTTTGTTTCACAAGTGGGCATGCTCAGTTACGTAATAAATATTCATGACTATTTGCATACCAACTCTAAATGTTCAACAAGACATTTTCTAAACAACTTCTTTAGCTTATAACTCTTGACCAACACCGTCGATCTTATGAATACTTTCTCATTCCATAGACAATTTATTGTACAACAACGTGGCATTGTACACAACCTCGTTTGACTATAACTTCAGGCTCTACCGGATGTTCGAAATATGATCAATTATTTCTCTTATAACTGTTCAACAATATCACCAATCGTGTCCATACTTTGCAATTCGATGCTACGTTCATAGATCAACATTTGCAAACTGTACATAACCTCCTTCGACATTTACTAGTTCCGGATCGACCGGAAGTTCAAACTTCGATCAACTTTTCCCCATATGACACCCATAAGGGCCGGCCCATATTCTGCCCACATGAGTTTGCCCAGGTTTTTCCCACGTGACACCCACATGAGCCCGTCCGTATTCCACCCACATTGGATTGCCGCTTTTCCCCGTATGACTCCCATAATGGGCCAGGCGGTGTTCTGCCCACTTAGTTTTGCCCACAGTTTGCCCATGTGATACCCTTATAGGTCAGCCAGTATTTTCCCTAATGACACCCATGGGCTAGCCCGTATTCTGCCCACACAACCGGTTTTTACCCATATACCCCCAAATGGGTCAGTCTGTATTCTGCCCACATAGAGTTGCCCAGTATTATGACACCCATATGGCCCAGCATGTATTCTGCCCACATGGGCTTGCCCAGTTTGTACCCATATGAAACCCATATGGGTAAGCCCGTATTCTGCCTATATGGGCTTTGCCCAGTTTTTACCCATACGACACCCATATGGGCCGAGCCTTATTCTGCCCACATGGGCTTGCCCAGTTTTTACCCATATGAAACCCATATGGGCCAGCCCGTGTTCTGCCCACATGGGCTTGCCCAGATTTTACCCATATGACACCCATATGGGACAGCAGGTATTCTGCCCATATGGGCTTGCCCAGTTTTTCCCCATATGACACCCATATGGGCCAGCCCGTATTCTGCCCACATGGGCTTGCCCCGTTTTTACCCATATGGCACCCATATGGGCCAGCCCGTATTATGACCATATGGAATCCCGGGACATACCGTTATTTCGTTTTACCGTTTAGGATTTCCTCAAAAACAAAAACAGTAAACGCACCGTTGACCGTTTTTTCGTTTTACAGTTTTGTAAAACGGTCAAACGGTATAAGGTCACAAAAATCAATGACCTTTTTGTTGTTTTTCTTAATTGTTGAAAGCGATAAACGGTTAGTTGCTTCATTTCAGAGTGTTGTCTTACAAGAACATGACAATGAAAAACGGTCAATAGTCCTGTCGACCATTTTTTGATGAGGTTCGGCACTTAAGCAATGCACCTAGGAATGTTAATGCGTCCTCATGGGATCGAGTCATTGCCTGGGACCCAAATTACCCTCCTCACATTTCGTTCTCACGACATAGTTTTCGAACTGGCTATTGAAGAGCCGCGCCGAACTCCAATTTCCTTCAAATATCTGCAACTTCTTCAAACGTGTTACCATCCTGTATCCATTGTAAAAAGTAATGTCCTCCCTTGAAGTTTTCCAGCGCCATTTTTGCTTGCAACTGTTAAGCCCCACCAACTGAATCGCCTGAGAAGGGGGGTCAGGGTCATGCCAGGAATCACACCACGCATTATGCCGAGGTAACACTTTTTCATGTAAAGCATGGTCCCCCTCCATCCCCTTGCCCAGCACCACAAAATGCACCACGTACTGTTCACTATGACACTGAAATAAAAAAAAAACAGTCTGTATTCAATACTGACCGTTTTGCTGTTTTTCAAAGTTATTTGTGTAAAACTGTAAAACAAAATCATTGATCGTTATGCTATAATGAGTTTTATTAAACTTATAAAACAGAGAAACCGTATTTATCTTAATACCGTTTGACCGTTTTACAAAGCTGTAAAACGACAAAACGGTCAATGGTTTGTTTACTGTTTTTGTTTTGAGGAAATGCAAAACGGTAAAACGAAATAACGGTATGTCCCGGGATTATATGGGCTTGCCCAGGTTGTTTCCATATGACACCCATATGGGAAAGCCCAGGTAGACCCCCACATGGTATAACCCATGTGGGTCCCATATGGGATACATAGAGGTTAACCCATGCCCAGGTTGCCCAGGTATTTCCCATATGGGCCCCACATGGGCTTGCTACCTGGGACAGTGTAATCCTGATCAGGCCCAAGGTTTAGGGTTTTCTCAAAAGAAAAAAGTGCATACCTTTTTTTACTTACGCTGTTTGATGTGAGTAAATCATATAATCGAACTGAAATGTACAAACATGCATTATTTCTTCAAAAACTTCACACATGCATAGTTTTTAATGCCTCTGATAACGCAGTTGAAGTGGTAACAATGGCTGTAAAATAATGGGAACGTTGAACAGATCATCCTGGCGCGTTTTTCTGCAACACATGACTGTCAGTTATCAATATAATTGTGTCTTACATTGGTGTGTTAGCAAACACAACTGCCCCGCTGAGATGAACGACACTTCTTGACTGACGAATAATGGATGGTATTATAATTACACACACACACAAAATGTGTTAATAACAAACATGCTTCAAAGGAAAGTGCAAGTTATATTCTGGGAAAACCTTTTCTATCGTGTAATTCATAATGGCCTTGACCTTTGACATGAAAAGGACACTTAGACCAACCCACATACCATTATGTTCCAGGACAAGGCATTGTCTTTCCCTTTGTCCCTTTTATATAACATCCTCCCATAAACTAAACACACAAACTTACGCTCGAAAACCGTTTGTAACAAAAGATGAACTCTCGAGGACAACAAAGAATCTTTTCTCTCTTCTTGTTTCTTTCCTCGGGATATATGTAAAACAAGAGTAACCATCATAGACCAAGCGTTACATACATGTACATATTTGTTTGTGTGGGGAAGACCTTTGTTTTCCTTGTTTTGTTTTCCTTTGTTCCTATTGAAATCTCAAAACTCCATTGCGCGCGTTTCCCTTATGGGGTAGATAGATTGCTAAACTAGACTTCCGTGTGGGGTCTATTGTTTCATTGTGTTTTCCACCCTATAAGGAACAATTGTACATGGACAGTCGTGTTATCCTATACCTATGAGGACCTCCTATTTTTCCCTTCTTTTGGTCTTTTGCTTGTAATATTCGGCACGTCCCATATGGTTTGTTTATTGTGCCAAACGCATGCGCATTGAGTCAGGGACTTCGACCTGACTTGGGCATATAAGGCCAAAAAAAAAAAAAATAAGTCGGTCTCTGGTCAGCGCGCGCGTCGATTTTAATCATGTGCGTCAATCTTTTTTTTTCAAAATGTTCCGCAGTAGCTCCAACAGCGCCCTCTATTGCCGCACCTCCTCAATTTTTTTTTTTTACCAAAGAGCACCAAGGAATGGGAAATTGCACTTAGGCAAATGATCGAGAGCACCAAGGCAAACTATGGAGGGCACCAATATACATGAGGACACCAAAAAAGCAAAATAGTACCCCACCTTGTCTGTAAAAACCAAGCTTGAAGAAAAAAAAATAAAAAAATAAAAAATAAAAAAGCCGCGTCGCCGCGTCAATTCCGGAACTTCGGTCTGACCAGAGACCGATATTTTTTTTTTTTACCTAAAGGCGATTATAGGCCTACTTTGATATAGCACGTTAAGCAATTCATGTACTCTTTTATACCAACTTTTTTTTGTATTTAGTAGGTCTCCCTGCTAGCACACTTGAGGTCATGTTCGGTATTCGCACGGTGGTGACTGTCAGCGGTTTCATGCTCGGCGTCTCTATGATCATTGCTTCTTTTTCCCCTAGTATTGTCATGTTGACCTTAATACTAGTACTACTAGCAGGTAAATGTTTTCTTCCTTTCAAGATGTCGTGCTATTCATTGCATGCTCGACATCTTAATTTACCATTACCGGAATTGTTTCGAATTTAAATGTAGTACCCCTGTGAATTGTCAAATTATCGATTTTCGTTGAACGAATGATTTGGTTTTAGCATTTAGAGGCAATGGGTCGTATGTATTGAAAAAAACTAGCATTTGCTTTTTCAACCTATTTTTAAACAGTTAGGCCTACTTGTATTTGTATAAATCAAAATGAAGCAAATGTTTTACTGGAAAGCATTTGTTGAGAGCTAAAAGTATTTACTTTTAACGTTTTAGCTTTTGCTAGAAAAAAAAGTGTTTACTTCATTTCGTAAATGCATCAAATTTTAAGTATTTACTAGTCATTTTTTAAGGCTGGGTTGGAACTACCTTGAAAATATAAAGCAAATACTTCTGCGCAGAAATTGCGTGTTTGACAATTATTTTCTTTCAAACAATAGTTCATATCAACAGCTGAACATAAAGAGAAGATCTGTGAGTCATATGAATATGTATCTCACCTCCGGGACCATATGATCATGCTATTTCAGATGTGTGTTGCCAGCAGTGTTGCAGTACTCGTACTCGTACTCGTACTAAAATGTCAAAGCACTTGTACTTGAAATGACGATACTCGTACTCGGGCAGCAAAGTACTCGTACTCGACATGTCGAAATTGTACTCGATCATTAAATGGACACTGCGTCCTAGAACAGCCTAATTGCGCTACAAAACGCGCTTTGAACGAAATGATGTTAATCAGAAAGAATATCTAAAAGTATGATATAAACATCCACACGACCATCCTTTAAAAAATGAGAGTTTTTGTGTTATTCATGTATTATGCGAACGAGAACGATTTCGAGGTCCACTTTTGCGACAGTCGTCTTTTCTCGGGAACGGTAAGACATTAGATTGGTTTCCTTCCGAGCAGATGTTTGAAATAGGATAAGTAAACAATCCAAAACATGAACTGTTCGGGGATATCAGGACCCTTAGTGCCCCTTTAAAGTCCTCGTACTCGAATAGCAGTGCTCGCAGAAATAAATGGTATAGCTTGACTTACCACGGCCTCTTTTTATCGATAATTTCAGCTTGAAATGGTTGATTGGCTTGCGAAGAATTCGAAGTTTCCTGATTTTTCTCTGTGCACGTCCGGACAAACACATTTAGCAGCTAGCCGTGAGTGGGTCTTTATATCGGTCTGACTGGGCCTGGGCTACTACGTACAGTTATATGGCCGTATTCGGAAAAAGAAGTACTGTACTCGTACTCGGAAAACAAGTGCTCGTACTCGGAGACCTGGAATTGTACTCGGAAGTACAAGTACTCGTACTCGGTAACATCAGTACTCGGCACAGGAAAAAATCGACAACAATACTGGAGATAAATCTTTTTCGTCCAATATATTTCATTGATGACTTTTATTATGCTTACAAAGCAAAAATCGATTTAAATACATTTTAGGGATGTCACACCCGAAAGGCACGGGGACCCTCCAATTAATGCTTTTGTCAATATACTAATTGATTATATCATAATTATCACCTGTTATCTGCAGGACCTGCATTAAGCATCGTCCCTATTCTGACAAGGGCGCAAATCGCACGCCGTTTTAAGACAAACTATGGCACTGCAGAAGGAATTGGGATGTCAGGATATGCAGTAGGCCTGATCACTGCTGGGCCATTTGCCCAACTGTTGCTGGATACGTACGGCTGGAGAGGTGCTTTGCTTATCCTTGGAGGGTTTGCCCTGCATCTGGGGGTGTGTGGCGCCCTCTTGCGTTCACCGTCGACTGATGAATCTAAGACGAATAGCAGCTATCAGCTTGTGAGCAATGAGGAACCGCGACTTGGTTCATCAAGTGCTGAGAAGAAAGGCAACTTGAAGCAGTCATCACTACCATTTAATACATTCAAAGACGTCCTCAAGGCCATGATGAAACATTTCGGATTCTCGGTTTGTTTCCGGGTCTCATTTTGGATCACAACAGTCACCTCATTATGTGCCCTCTACGTGGATGATTATTGGTTGATCTATTATGTTTCCCAAGCGGAAGCCAAAGGTTTCTCTCCATACGACGCTGTGACATTCACCACAGCTGGAGGGGTCGGTAACATCGTTTCCGGGATTTTGCTGGGTTTTATCGTCGACAGAAATGTGTTGAAATTGCGACCCGCTCTCGCACTGTCGATCATACTGAGTTCCTTGGCTCTACTGATAGCTCCCTGGGTGAACTCCTATTGGCTGATGATGACAGGTGCCTTTGTCTTTTGTGGTGGAAATGGAGCAATTGCCTTATTGAATGATCTGTACACCAGGGAGCTGCTTGGAACTGATCTCTTGGTATATGCTTTCGCTTGGATGGAAATGTTGACGGCCATTTTAGGTTTCAGCCTTGGATTCTTTCCAGGTAAAGCACATCATGCCCCATTGTATTGCTTTGGCGATATCAGTATATTGCATGGAGTGATATGCCATTGGTCTCAATGCAATTCTGATATCTTAGCTTCTTCGACCAATACATGCCATGCAAGGGCGGATCCAGAGCACAATTTTTTTGGGGGGGGGGGCCAAAACAATTTTGGTCCCCCAAAAAAGTGGATAAAAAAAATTACGGCGTGGGGTTCGGGGATTCTAGATGCTCTGTGGTGCGATCTGAGGCAATATCTGACCACTTTAACCAATGTTTTTTGAGGAAAAGATGGTGGTGTACTCATTGCCTGCCTTTATTGCGATGTCACATAAAACAAACAAAAATTGGTTTCGTTTATTTTTGGGTGGGGGGGGGGGCCCTGGATCTGCCCTTGATGCCATGCAAACATCGTAATACCCACCCAAAATCACTGGTAGCGGGTGCTATCATCACGAATACAAGTGGTTCCATTGACATTTTGATGGTCACCTCTTTTAAGGAAACTTAGGACTCCCATAGATAGCTGCTATTATTGTGTCCATGAATTTAAGAAGTTTTTATGTCCAAAATATTATATTCCCTAACCTTCCTTCGCCACCTCAACAATGCCTGTTGCATATTCTGAAGAACACCCAGATATTTGCTGATTGCATTTATGTACGTGACATCAACGAAACAACGGAAATGTTAACTGTTTGGAACGTAGCGCCAGTATTACAACTCCAGAGGCACCACTTATGATTATGTTTTTCCTTTGAATCATCGCAAGACACTTAGATTATCGTTCTCTTTTCCCCTTAAATTAAAATTATGTCAACGTTAAACTCAGAGAAGAAAAAAAGTCGATGAAAATGAACAGCGACAACGTGGATTCGAAGCAGGGATCTTTGTATCCATGGTTCATCTCGCTATCAACTTGGCCACTGTGTGGTAGTTCCACGACAGCCGTTCTAAAAATTGCTTTAATTTAATGTAACGGGTTGACTACATAAAAACATTGCTCTTGATATCATTGCTCTGTTCTCATGAAAAAAAAATACTGGCCCGTTGAGGTAAGAATAAATTATCATAAGTGGTACCACTGGAGCTGCGATACTAGAGCTACCGTTTAGAACTGCTTTACATATTTTTTTCCAGGTTGGATAAACGACCAGACTGGGAGTTTTGATTGGGCCTTTTTCACCCTGGGATGCATATCAGGTCTGTCGTTGGTGGCGCTACTGATAGAACGGGTCCTGGCGAAATACAAACCCCAGCAGACGGCTTGAATTTTAATGTCAATTTAATAACAATTTTAACGTCAGAAGAACCGGCTGACGTCCCTGCAAGCAGAAGTGATATGATCGGACCAAAAGAGCTTATCATCGCTGACGACACCCATGAAGACTGTAATAAAATAAGCAGCAAATTTGTTGCGCAATTGCACAATAAACCTACGATCGATTTCACGAAAGTTGGCGTAGCATCGCAACGTTTAAAATAATTAAAACATCTTGGACGAGGATAATTTTAACATTTACGACGGCTGTTTGTGTATGAATTCGTTGGTTCACAAAAGAGTCACTGGATCACCTCAGCCCGGCATTTTGAAAATTCTTTGTCTGCCTTTTTTGGGATCGTGCGGCAAGCTCTAAACACTCTGTCACGAGTGTTTAAATTGTATTAACTTCAAACAAGAAGCTGTGAGTGTCTTGTATTAATCTTGATAAGTTGTGCAATACCGGGCTCTACGAAGATCACGATTTGCTGGTAAAATGGGTAATTTTCAGTAGCTACGCTTATACGTACTGTGGCGAAACAGGGCTACAGGTATATGCAGACTTGTGCAGCCTGGGCCCGGCTGTGGTGTATATAACAACGCTTATCGAAGATACAGGGTACCACGTGACGCAAAAGTTAAGAAATGGCCCATGAACTTCGTCTAGGTCCATTAACAGCGGTCAACCCCAAACCCGGTCATTATCACGCAGTGAAGACCCGCTCCTCACACTGTTATTCCCTTAATAAACAACTAAAATTTGGTGGTGTTTACTCAGAATATTATTATAAGTCAGAAACAAGAATCGGAGCAGGAAGTGGTTTGTACACGTGCATGCTTGAGACATGAGAATGGTCGTGTGGGGGCAAATGCATAATTGCTCATTATTCTCAACCGCAACCGGTCGTAAGACACACTAACTTAATTGCATGGGATGCGTAAAAACACCTCAGAACAGTGATCATCTCGAAGTAACGACAAATATAATGTAAAGGGACTCAAAGGCAAATTATAATCCAATTGGGGCCTTACACACACGTATTTTGTACATGTGTGTACACAGAGAAAATAAAAGTTTCAAATTCGCAATTAAAATTGACTGATCATGATCACTTGGACACGCACTCAATGATTTAGCCAAAAAGACAGTGTGCATGTGGGCACTGACCTTACTCAAGGTCACCTAGCCAATTTGCTCGTAATATCATAACATTAAATATTAAACTTTAGTTTTTACTAATTAGTAGGCCTAATGAAATGCAATCCCGATAAACCAAATCAAAAACGAATGAGCAGCACATATTCTCTTACGACGTTACTCATTGTGTCGTGTTCGAAATCGATGAGCCAATACACGAAATAAACAAAATATTTAGTTTGATGATTATTACATGAACATGTGGTGTAAACATTAAAATATGAAACCTCGCCTTAAACCTTCTTGGAGATTTACTCTTTGAGAGAGGTTCACAACCTTCCATTTATAGGTAGGATATTCCGCTAAAGTTCCTCATGTACTTCTGACATGTTTCATGGCAGTACAATTTTAATCTTTTTTTTTAAGAACGTTTGACTTTCATTCTGTGGTAATTGCTAACAGTTTGGGCTTCAATTTGAAGGTGGTTTTTCCTTATAACATATTAAATCAGCTTTCTAATTTTAAATCAAATTCCAACAACTTTCCATCGTTTTCAAGGAAGGGCTTTCCCCAGAGAAACCAGCGTCCCAGCGTCGGAATGTTGAATATAGTGTATTTAATTCATTCAAGATAAGTGCAGAAAATCTCATTTTAACCACAGTACGCCGAAACTATTGCCAATGATGACAACATTGCTGTAAAAAAATTGTTTCTGAAGAATTAGTGCATCTTTCTGTACAGGATAATAGGAACACTGACCGGATGTCTAATCTACATTTTAGTATTTGTACAGTGGATAACAAAGAACTATTTCACATATTTCCTCTTATATTCACAGAGTAATAATAATACAGGTTCTTATAAAGCGCTTTTAACAAGAGAAAAAGAAACCTTGAACTGCATGCCTGGTGGTAACTGTATATTATGCAGAACTTCATGCACTCTTAAAGTCTCGGGTCAATTTCGACTCTTTATCATCTGGGTCCAATTTGACCGGACAGACAGTGGGTCAAAATGACATTTTTTTTATTAGGATTGACACTTGTCTTTGTCCAAATGATAGTTTTCCTGTTAAAATAATACCTTCTGGGTCGTATGGCCCGGAAATGTGACTCAGAGAAGTTTCTTTTTGACCCGTAAACTGGTGTTACGTGAAATCTGACCCAGATTTCGGTTAAATCTGACCTTTATGAGTGTAGCATCAATATAAACGTTATTAATTTTTTTGTAGAATTCACAGTTTGGTGTCGGTATTCGCGTCAGTGACCGAGGTCTGTGGGGTAGCGTTTTTCTGCAGTGGCGCCGTGTGGCTGATGGCTGCAACACCTTGCTCTCTGATTTGAGTTCTGCAACAAAACACCTGGATGAAGGCAGCACGGACCGTCTTGTTGATGGTACCGTAGATCAAAGGATTTATCATCCCGTTGATGTACTGTGGAACTTGGGCCACCCAGTCTCCAGCGTTGCCTAATGCGGCTTGGAGGGGATTAGGAATCTTAGCCACCAAACAGATCCAATAACTCAGGTTGATGATACGATATGGAGTCTGGCATAGGAAGAACACCACACCGTTTACGATCAACATCTTGGCCACTTGGTTTCGGACCCGGATGGCGTTTTGGTCGTTACTGGCCACGCCACCTTCCTCGGTGCGTTTATTGAGTGTCTGGAAGATCCTCACATACATGTAGCTGTTAGACACCATCGCAATGAGCCAGGGGACGTCCAGCAGTGGTGGGAGGTAGTAATAAATCTCTGGTGTTACGGGCATGTACTTTCTCCATGTAGTTGGAAATCCTTGGTATGCGTCGTCATCAGGCCACTTCAGGCAACTTACATTGTTAACTCCATTCGCGAGGGAAATTGGAATGGTGAACAGCAAGCCCAGAAGCCAGCAGATTGCGATCATTTTGTAGGTTCGTCTTCTCCCCCGCATGGTGAGATGTTTCATGGGATGGCACAGAGCGAGGTATCTCTCAAGGGATACCATGGTGACCAGCGAAATGGAGCCGAAGTAGCCAGTGTTTGCGATAGTGATGCAAGTTAGGTACAAAGCAGTGTTTCCAATGGGGTTGTTAAATGCCACGCGGGAACTAGTGTAGGTTAACAATTGCAACACAGATGCAATACTCAAGTAGAGAAAATCAGCAATCGCCATGTGAGCTAGGTATAAGTTAGTGTCAGATCTCAGTTTAGGAACACGGTACATGACAAACAGAAAACTCAAGTTGGTGATGAGACCAAGACACCAGGTCGTGGGTATGAATGTGGTTATCATGGCGGTGTCCAGGGGAGTATACAGCAAAAGAGATACTTGTTCTTGACTGATATTGACATGGCTAGTGCATTCGGCTGACGTCAGACTTGCGCCCATGGTGGATATTTGTGTAATGCAACAATTTGGTCAAAGTCTCACCAATGTGAACGGCAACGACTCGACACGGATCACAATGTATGCCAATTTTGTAAATGCACGAAATATGCTGGGCAAAAATAAGGTTCTGTCCACATTTTTCACAAGCTTTTATAACCTCGGCGTTGCAAGTAAAAGGATCCTGAGGTCTGTTACTGACGGCACGACACGTAGGAGTATTTTGATTGGTCGAGATTACGGAAGGTTTTATCGAGGTCAACACAACGATCACCTTTTTACCGTATATTTTATGTTCGCGCGCGCAGAAGCGATTACTGGCAGCAAGAACCGGGGGGGGGGTATTTGTAACAAAAGAAAGCATGAACATCTTGGTCGGGTGTTTAGGGTTTTTCACTGATTTAAAGGCTGGCAAACCTTCAAAGTCGACAGTAGTATCGATATAAAGCTGAAATGGGTGAAGAGACGGACAAAGCATTGAAACCAATAATAGAGAAAATGGTAGATTCCAATGGCATTCACCGTGCACGAGTGCGTACTGCAGGCCACGCCTACTGCACTTGCTAGGTTATTAACTTGTGCAGGTATGCATTGTTTTATAGCGCTAGTTTGTGTTATATAACCAAACCCTCTCATAAAACCTTTCCATCATCTTGGCACACGTCTGGATACCTGTAACTTACCAAAGTAACAGGTATTCAATATCGACCTTCAAAACCCAACTAGACAAGATACTATCATGCGCACTTCAAAATGAATTTGACCTATCGCCGTTTCCGAGTAATAGTCGCGCCCCTTATGAAACTTTATGGAATTTTGGACGTTAAGTTTTGTCTGTCTCAGATTGTGCGAGTTCCGCGTCCATTTGTATATCATGTTATAGGACAATATTTCACAAGCTACGTTGACGCGATTCGACGTGATAGGTTAATTACCAGTCAGCACCATTACAGCGTTACCTGCACGCGATAACCCCACCATAGGCGATTGTGCATTTAGCTTACAGATGCAGATACCTTAAAGCCCGTCGCGCACGATATCTACGTGCTGAGCAAAGTTATTCGAGGCCGTTTGCAAAGCATGTACCTCAACGTGTGCGGTGATTTTTTTTGCTGGTTTTCTGCCTCGCGAGGCCGTGAGGCAAATTTCTCCCGTTTGATTCATTTCGCCTCGCGAGGCCAAAAACACATCGTGTGCGGTCAACCTGAGCTACGTGCTGAGTCAATGGCCTCGAATAAGTTTTTGCTCAGTACGTAGCTCCCGTGTGCGGCGGGCTCAAGGCGGACTGAAGACGGAAGTCCAATTACTGTGTACCAGTGTATTCAATCGAAATTTGATAAGTCAATGTGAAGTTTATTGAGTGGAATCACTGTTTCGTTATGAATACCAAATTCATTCTCTGTGTAGCAATACGATGTAATCACGATTGACCCACATTTAAATCGCAATTACGAATAATAATAAAGTGCAAGTCACAAATTCGCTCGTAACACAATATAATAAAATAAAATAAAATATTAAAGATTAGTTTTTGTTTAGTAGTATTAAATGCAATCCCGATAAACCAAATAAAAAAATGAATAAGCACATATACTATCACGACGTTACTCATTATGTTATATTCAATATCGATACACCAATTGTTATACCTCTGTCTTGAATACTGTATATGAAGTGGCCTAGAACGATCACGTGTTAAGTTTATAAAAAGTCATGGCACACTCCCCGTGAGATACCATGTACACGTGTACGCTACGTACGTGTGAAACGCCTATATCGTTGGTACCCACGTTTTTTTCACCATGTTTTCACACATTAGAGGGAGCAGCGAACTAGCAGACGATCACCTGATTCGAGCACGCGACATGCATGTGAGTTGACTTCGATCGTCATGGGTGTTGTGTTTACTGCTATTTGTTTTCGTGATTTTTACATCAAAAATCAAAGAATCCAAGACAGAGGAATAACAAAACAATTGTTGAATGTTGTGATGTGGGATGTGACGTCAGTTGAATACCCTCGGGGTGCATATCACCCTCGTCTTCGTCTCGGGTGCTATGCGCCCCTCGGGTGTTCAAAAACGTAATATCCCACATCACAGCCAACAATTGCTAAATATATAATATTTAGGTTGATGGTTATCACATGCAGTTTGAAAAATAAGATATTAAACTGCACCTTCGCATAATCTTGAAAAGATGTATTTTTTTAGAGAGTTATATAACCTATTCCATACATTTCCATTAAGCTAGAATATTCCGCTAATGTTCCCCATGTACATCTGACAGTTTAATGGTAATGCAATTAAAAGTTTGTTAAAGAAAGTTTATTTTTCGTTCTGTTGCAATTGCTAACTGTGGCTTCAATTTGACGGTTATTTTTTTCTTGATAACATACACAATTATGTCATTTTCATTTAACTTAATTTAAATTCTTATACCTTGCCATCATTTTAAAGGAAGGGCTCCCCAAGAGAAAATGACAGCATTTGAATGTTTATTCAATTTGTGCAATGGATGACACATAAATTAGTTATCCATAAATAGCTTTTCCTGTTTTTTTTTCACAGTGTAAAAGAAAACTAGATATACAGGGTGAGTAAAAAAAAAGCGGAACCCAAACCCCAAAAATATATTTCATATTTAGGACAACATGTAGCAACAAAAATAATAATGACTGGAAAGACAATTTCATAAGCTACTTTTAGATGACAAAAAAACTGAAATTACTCGATCCGTTCAAATAATATCGCCACGTAAACGCAATGACCCTTTATATTGATGCACGTGAAGTGTCAACGTCGGGTTAAACACACACCTGAGTGTTACAACTGATAATGTAGTAACCAACGGATAATGTATCACCAACCGATAATGTCACACAAATTGACCGAAACTGTAACACTAATTGATAATGTAACACAAAATTGACCGATAGCGTAGTAAAATGCACTACACTATCTGTACATTGCTGTTACAGTATCGGTCCTAACCGATAATGCAACAAAAATTGACTGATAGTGTAGTAACATTTACCACATTATCCGTCATTTTTTTGTTACATTATCGGTTAATGATACAGTATCGGTCAATTTGTTTGGCATTATCGGTTGGTGATACGTTATCAGTTGGTTACTACATTATCAGTTGTAACACCTGAGGTTAAGTCGACTGTCACCCCATGTGCTTCAAGTACCCCATGTGATACGTAACTGGCAACTTCCTAACACCTCATGTACTTGCGCTTCACCTTGTGTTGATGCAAAGATTAACCTCAGCTGCCTCAGTTTCCTGTCAAGAGGCTCAAGTGTTCATGATTTTGGAACAAAAATGTTCTAGTGCATATTGCTCTCTGAGTCAAGAGGTCGCATGTTCAAGCCACGACCCAGTCAATTTCTTTGTGGAACTTTCCAACTGAATTTATTTATTTGTTATTTATTTATTTATTTATTTATGAACACCAACTCTAACTTAAATTCTAACATCTGTCTTATTTTCATAATTTCTTGCGTAGGTATCATCCGTTCATAAATGTTTACTCATTATGATGTCAATGCATGCCTTGCCCTCCAGGAGTTTTTAACACAGCTCTAACTAAGGATCTCTCTTACTGTCTTACTGTGTTACATAAAGGCCCTAGCCTAGCTGTTATTCGGTCATTAATGTTTATCCATCATGGCATACACCTGCAGGGCACCCGCATTTCATCAAGGATAACAGGTACTCGATCACATTTAGGTTACTGACCTTACACGAGATCGTTGGGTTAGCCATCACGTGCTACTCGTGTCTGCCCCGGTATCAACCACCATGCACTGCCCCAGTCCGGATTTGTCGTGGCTATTACATGGGCCTTATGCACGAGTCGGCCATATTGAATTGAAAAGTGAGGTAAAATCTCGGGGTTTTTTTTATTTGCGAAGAGAAATGAAAGCAAGTTAATTACTGATTAATTCCAGTCTGCTTCAATGAATAATTGACAATTTTGTAAATAAGCATTCCCTAATGATAAGGCCAAAGTAAACAAGAAAATGACAGTAAAATAAGGCTGCATTATGCCCGCACAAATAGTCTGGTCCCATCCCATTCATCAGTTAACAATTAATGAAATACATTTACGAAACTCGACAAAAATGGCCAACTCATGAAGCCCATGGTCGGCGCCATCAGACATGCACCAATGAACATAATCTACATAAATCAGAAAATAAGACCTGTTTTCCCTAATTTATTGTTTGTTGAATATCCATGAAAACGGTGGCACATAGGCAATCTTACAGCGAATATTGGCATAACTCACTCCAAAACTTGTGTTTAGCAATTTAATACAATCAAGCTATCATAGTGGCGTAGCTACCAGGGGGGGGGGGGGTGTTCCTCCTCCACCCCGCTCTCAAAATCCTTGTACTTTCTCTAGCATATTCCCAATTTACCCCCATTGACACCCTTGCGGACGTCCATTTTGTTAAATGTGCATTATTAACAGCAATATGACTTCGCACTTCGTTTCTCCCCCCCCCCCTTTTTCCGCACATTCTAACGCCCCCACCCCACGCAGATCCACATTTTATGCAGGTAGGGAAGTTAGTGTGTGTTTACAGCTTCATTGAATGTTTGCAGGGACTAACCAATAACTATACCAATTCACAATAGGCCTACAGCTAAAACAACGACACCCAGTTAATATCGAAACAACTAAGTCTGGCATACACTGTAACATTTAGGCAGTTTACGCCAGCACGATTTACACACACAAATAGCATTGTGAATTCGTCGTGCAGAAACAAATGTAGACAGTCAAAATATTCCAATCAGGAGATATCTTATTAGTGTATTGAGTATTGACAAAATTATACATCATCTGATTAATAATTGTGCAAGGATAAAACATTATTGTCGGGATAACAGATAACAGGCTACATCCTGCCGTTGACTGATGTAAGCATTGCACTTAATTCGTTAATGATTATTTTTTGTTGTCTTTACCAGATGAGTATATATCCATTGACTGATAAGTCTTCAAAGACATATAAGGATCATTTTGCTTTTCATGCATTTTGTTCGTTTCAAATAATGACACCACTCCAGATACAACGAAGAATGTACAAAACCTGACCTGTTGAAGTTTCAGCTCGGTGAATATTACACTATTCGAGAAAACAGTGGGAGAAAACATGCACGTTAACCTTTCGATAACGAAAGCCATTTTAATGAATGGAAGGTTTGCTGTAACACCATGTAAATGTTACCCCTTTGTGAGTTGTGTGGTTCTGAGAAGAACCAGTTGGTCTAACTCGACGTTTCGAACAGTATGCTCTGCTCGTCATCAGGAAATACAATTCGTCGGTAGGACTTTTTAATTCCCGGAATCAGTCAATTGAGTGTTCATTGAAAATGTCCGATAAACATTTTTTTTCGATTTCGTCTAAATGACAGCAAGTCAGACGGAGTGAATTCACAGGGTGTTTAGTCTATTCAAAGTAGACTTATTGATTATAATTCGGTTTTTGTTACTTTTGGGATAAATGCAAATGATCCTATGTATGCCATGATCCTATATGACTTAAGATCTTCTGAAATCAGTATATAATTGTGTCATTTTTTTGGTGTCTTTTTGCGAGTGTGCTAAAAAGTACCGGTCTGACCAAAATGAATCAGTTCCAACAGAGGGCGCTATAGCACATCGGACAAGTCTGTCGTCACTCGGAAGCAATTCGCAGGCTCCACGTGTTTCATGTTAAAGCTGAAAACACAATCCATATGCCAGCCTGGCATTGACTTCGAAACCGGGCATCGAAACCGGAAGTGGCGTATAAAGGGGCATCATAAAGCAAGGAACTTACTTGCTCTGTGTAAGTGACTGAATATAATAGTACACGCCACCTCTAATAGAATGCACTAGCTGATGCATTAAGGCATCAGGTTCCTTCTGTTTTTCTCCACCATTCCCCTCATAAATGTGTAGGCAAACATGTGTATCTTTTCAGCTCTAGTGGTTGTAACTACATGTATATTATGTACTACTATTGTGCGCCGTTTCGCATTGGCAGACATCATTTTTTTTCTTCAAAACTTTCAACCGACGCTGACAACAGATTTTCCGCGAAATGGCAATTTTAAGCACTTACAGTATGGTTACTATAGACTCCTTTGTTGAGAATGCTTACGCAATAATACACAGTTTAATTTTGTTGTTTTTGTTTTGTTGGGGTTTTTTTGGGCGGGGGGTGTTTTTGTTTTTGTTTTTGTTTTGTTTGTTTTGTTTTGTTTTGTTACGTTTTTTTTTTGGGGGGGGGCGTATTCTTTTCTTTTGCAATGGTGGTCGTACGTCCATAGTTTGCCAACCACTGCTTGGCAGAAACTATTCGGTGACGAAGAAACGTCTGACCAACAAGAGTTTCACAAAGCCACATAGGCCCATATCACAATTTAACAATTTAATAGGCCTTATTCTTGAACGAGTGAGGGCGCTATAATGACCTTATTTGGAAAATAGAGGTTATCGACGTGATTTAAACACTGCAAAGTCCCCAAAATACATTTGCTCAATCTGTAATATTTAGATTCAAGTAAAGTTATTAATTGTTTCAATAAACGGGATTTTTCAAGCGTTGGTACCCAGACAATATTGATACAGCGCCCTCACTCGCCCAGAAAAATGGCCTATTAAGAGTTTGTTGGTTCCCACCGCCCAAACAGGGTTAATTTCTTCTGGATGCATGACGTAATTTCTTCGAGCACTCATTGCATAGAATTTGTTTTAACAATATATCACGGGTCAACTCGTCCGCAAGCGTGTGACACGTGCGCACAGAGTGTACGTGCATTGGATAGAGGCAGTTAGCTCCCCACAATACTTTGCGCGCCTGTGCTTCCTTCACAAAAGTTTGTGAAGGAGATTAGCCCTTCCCAGTTCCCTGATTGGGCGTTGGGTACAAGCAAATATTAGGAGAATCATTTCATGGAGCCAATGATCACAAGTTTGGCCATGCCAGACACTGAAACAAATTGCTTAACAGCAAAATTCGGTTACGTACCAGCTAAAATGTCATGCAATGTGTATTGCTTGTGACTGGTTTCCGGCTGAAAAATGCTAAGCAATATTATATTTTGCTCAGCAGCGTTTAAGTCGTTCTCTTCTCATCATTTAAAAACTAATGCGAGTAATCAGGAAATTAAATGTTTAAAGCGGGAAGGTTACGGGTTTGAAGGGATTGGCGTAAAATGGCAACATTCTTGAACTGTGCAGATCAGGGCCTTCATCATGAAGTGCCCGTCCTGGACTTGGACTGCAATGCAAAATGACCTCTTTCTACACAAAACAAAACATTGACATGCAAGTAAATGAAGAGCATATTATCGTGACCAGAAGAAAATGCCCAATCAGCGCCATGCATTTGGTCCGCGCTCGCACATACTTTGCATTCAGTGAACACAATGCGGGTGTTTCTGTCGAGTTAATTGCAATAAAGAGAACGACTTTGGAATGTTACGACTGGCGTATTGTTGTGATGACAATAGTTGTTCCCGAGTACTTCAATCTGATCTTTAATTTATCCTCGGATGCAAAAAAGGACATAACAGTGGCGGATCTAGGTTAATGGAGAATGCAAGAAAACAATGGAAAATGTAGGCCGCGGCCCTCCGTTCCTATTGTTTGCTCTCAAAGTAATGCACCTGTCAGTCGGCCACTGAGCACGACTTTCTCTTTGCTTTGAACAAAGGACGACGCCAACGTTGTTACAATGTGATTGTGGTATGATGGACTCGACAAATATTTTGAGAAAAAAGAACCAGCTTTTTGGTATCAATTTCTTACAACAGATGTCTAATGAACTGTTAACTTTATCTCTTAGGCACGTTGGTTGATCCACTCCGGCATTATATACAAAATTGAGTCTCGTGACTCGCCACACAATATTTATGTACAAAAAAAAACCGGAGGGACTCTCACAGCGCAATTACGTTTGTACTTATGGTGCGTGTGCGCACTCCTCGTTTTGATTGGCAAAATGCGTTGTTCTTTTAACCACACCCCTCTGACAAGTTTGAGCCAGCCTTTCCTTCACCGCAAACCTTGCACCCAGCAAAAGCAGGACCTGCTTCTACGGGGTATAAAGTATACGGACCCCTGGATAGCTAGGGTACATAGCCACAGGCCGAGTCGGGAGTAACTTCCTTTGCGTGATGGCAGCTAAGTCTATTCCCTGATACACGAGGAATAGCCTACATGTATGCACAGGCTTTGCTAGTTACACGCTGTAAAAACCTCTAGGTGCAGTGGCCCGAGTGTGGTACGTTGCTTATAAGTGCTTACTTCCGCGGCACTTTACAGCATTAAGAACTAATTTGCTTCAACTGAACATGTGAAAGAGTACATTCCGAGAAAAGTACGAGTGGAACATGATACTGGCTTGATTGACCGGACTGTGCATGTAACATCAACAAAGGAGGTATTTTTTCCCTTCATCATACGTTGTGAGGAGGGTTCGATACGGACGGACTTATAACACGGAGATGTCGTGGGGAGTGGTTGTGTCGCATCAGAGGTTGCCTTGGCCGCTCAGGAGCTGGATCTTGCCGTTGCTCTGCCTGGGCCTAGCGGGGCTCGCATCCGCCAGACACCCGCAGCAAATCCACCCGGGGTTACCTGGTGTCTGCAGGGCCATCATCAGGTGAGTAACGCCTTACCTAGACATATTCCAGACTTCTTCTCGGCAAAATGTGTAACAAATCTAAGCTGTTAATTGTCAGTCTACATGAGATCAGTATCGTCCATTGCGTCATTATCTGTCGTTCAGGTGTTTCGTTCATTCATGGTCATCCATTTTCACAACTAGGCTTATACCTACAAGTGAATTGACAGGTGAGCAAGGGTTTAAGTTTCCCTAAGCGAATTACAGGATTATTTGTAGAGGATCATCTGGTTTCCTTCAGACTTAAAAGCTTTTATGAAACATTGGATTAACCCTTAATAAAGTTATCAGTGAGCGCGAATAATAAATAAAGTTATCAGCGAAAAAGGAATTTTAAAAAAGGAGCGAAAAATGTAAATTTTGCTAGTTTGAGAAAAAAAGTTTTATTTAAAGTAAAGAAGGCAGTACTTGGTGTCATTACAGCAGCTTCGGTAAAGGAGTGGTTGAACAGACATTTTTTAAACGAATATTAGCACATTGAAATTCGTTTTAAGAAGTCAGTCTCGGCAACGCGCTGTTCCCTGACATTATAGGAAGACTTCTTATGGACAACTTCGTGTCTAACCAACAACTAGTGACATACAACTAGTGACATTTATTTTTAAAGAATACAACACCAGCAGGTATTGCTAATGCCATTCGTGTAATCAAAACCCAGTGTGCTCCAGAACTCGGGTCCTAGTTACAGTGTTCGGAACTAACCGTGTTATATTTTTTTATACCCCATGTAGTACTTACATATATTTATTTACCTACTGTTGGTTCGATATGAGCATATAAAAGAATATAAATACAATGTATTCCTGTTGCGATTAATATTAATTATTTCCGTATCGGGAAAACAAGATCGTTTGCAATTACCCCCCAAAGTATACCTATCGAATTATTTCAAAAATCGTACTCGGATTAAAAAGTCACACTCGTACTATAAACACGCAGTGAAATTATTCCACCTGGCTTGCTGTCATTTAGAAAACAAACACACAAACAAACAATGGAGGTAACTTCCAGCGAATTAGTTGTTGACTGATATTTTTGGAATAATAGAGCTTTAATGACGGAGTCGGTTTTCCGAGTGATCATGAAGTTGTTGTTTTTACTGTTTTCTCGAAGAGTGTAGTATGCACTGAGCCGAAACTTGAACAGGTCAGGTTTTGAACGCTTTCTTTGGATTTTGAGTGGTGTTACTATTGGAAACGAACAAAATGCATCAAAAGCAACTATATAAGTGATCCTTTGGGCCTTTAAGTAGCATTTGTTCCTAGCCATTGCTATTCGTTTCGCTTTAAGCTCTGGGGTTGTATCTTTCAGTTATATCGGCCACTTTCGTCAGCCGATGAAGTCACCAATTGGATTAGACGTCAGTTTTCATCGATAGCCCGGACTCGCGACCCTTTCAATTTTAAGAAAATAAAACTCGGAACCAGACAAGGAAATTTAGCAGTTCCTGGATGTCCGCACCCACCTTATATAGAACACTCCCATTCAATTAGTTGTGCACGTGTGGTTGGCCTAATCGATGGCTATAAGTCTAAGTGGGGCCTATGATTGGGAAGGTGGAACTGCACTCGCAATTATACCCCCCAAAAAAGGTGGTGCCACAATAAGATCCACAACCACTGCACTTTGTAATCATCTCTTTGCCACAAAATTCTTTCCATGATGAAGCTTCCTTTTATATGAAAACTTGGGAGCCTTTAGACGAGGTCTGCGTTAGTTCTCGCATATAAACAAAGTAAGTGATCTGACTCCAAAGGCCTAGGCATACGTGAACTTTGTTCAACTAGAGTTTAATTTGCACTTCCCTGTTGCTCGTTATGGCAGTTCACGCACACGGGGAACGCTCCCCATGCATCAAGCAACGGAGTTTATGCCTTGGTCGCATACAGATGATTCATACTGCGTTGATATAATGATGTGAAGTTTTGGGCTGTTAGTTGAGATTTTGTACATGTACATGGAGTCCGTTCGCTTTAAAGATGATATTTTTTTTCCTTCAAAATGATTCACATCTGGTCGACATCAAACTCCCAGGATCTTTAGGGAGCATGCTTCCGCTTACACCGGATGAGAGAAAATGGGCAAATTTAGCACAAAAGGGAGAGGATTTGAAGTCCCATATTCTTTAGGAAACCGTTCTTCACCACACATACACAATCACACACGGATCCCTTTACATATCGTAACATAAAGGAAGACAGGTGACGTGGTAATTCATTATTTCAGATACAACGGATTATTAAAGGCAAACACAATAAAGTTTGCTTTATTGCCTCAAAATGCAAAACAATTTTGGAATATATAGGTAAACATAGGTTAATTTTCTTAAACGATATTTCTATGAATTCTCGGTTAGTGGTCTTCAAAAAAAATATACATAAGAAATACTAGCTCATATTTTGTTTTATACGCTTAAAAATGATTACTTTTCAACCAATGATTCATTGATTATGTAACTCGTTTACGTAATCATTGGAGCATAATGTTTTGGTTGTTCCAACTCAATATTGATTGGCAAAGAACAATAGGTAGTTGGCCAGATGAGATATTGCTGTCATTTTAATCTCCTTTCATCCACTTTGCTGAAAATTATACCACATTGACATATCATCCCTTTCAAATTTACCTAAACTCCCTAGGCCTTTTTGCTAGGATGTAGCCTCAATCCTGCAAAATACTATAATTGGCCTCATGGAAAATAGCATATAGCCTCAATCCTGCAAATTCCTCCATTATTTCTTGACCACTGCCTGAATCCTGCCAAATCCTGCGGCAGTGACTGTCAATATGTTGAGGCTTGGCCAGTGACATCCTGGAGCAGTACGGAGGATTTCAAGCAAAATCCAGGCCTATATTTATGAATAGCTGAGCAAAAACAACACAAGGTCCGGCCCAAGACCTTGACAAAGTGCATCCTACGAAATCAGTAACGCACTTTTGCCATGTAACCTCAATCCGCCAAATTCCTCCACTTTGGCAAAGAGGATTTTGAAGGATTCAGGGCGGTATATATCTGGATGTAGGTGTCCACATGAAATTGGAAAACGGTATTGTGTTGAGAAAATATTCATTCTGTAAGCGTATATAAGTTATTATTAAACAAAATGGCAGCTAGTATTTTTAATATTTTGTTTTCTCTAAATGTATCATTTTTTTATACAAACTATATAGTACATACTTACTTAATCGCAATGGAAAAACCTTTAATCTGGAATAATTCAATGAATGATCCTATTTCCTATTTGAATCAGTGAAATTGTACATCCCCACCTGTAGGGGACATGTTAGTCTCTAGAGTGCGCGATCGAGATATTATGGGGAGCGGAACGCGTACAGCAGTCAACTCATTCCCCACGCATTGGTTTCTCGATATTCTAAAATTATAGCAACAATGTAGCTGTGACATCTAAAAGCTGGAACAATCTGTGACCATTCACTCGATATCCATTCTTCGATACTTGCCTATTGTGATAAATAAAAGATAAAGGTATTATTAATATGTAAAGGAAAAAAATACATGTATGTATACATAAAAACACGAAATTCAAAATACAGATGTCATAGTTGAAAGGCCAGTACAGGGTGAGTAAAAAAAAACCAAAATGTTGGGACCATTGTTTTAGGGTAGTTCTACATGTAGCATTTTAAAAATCTAGGATATGAAAGCCCAATTCTTAAGCTTCCTTTTAGTACAAGAATCATTCAAATCACTCAGGTGCTTTTCAAGTTACAGAATTTTAAACACAACCACCGTTTTAAGGTTCTGTCCACGGATCACAAAAAAGATCAGTGTTCTTTCAACAAAACGAAAAGAAATCACATAGGGATGTGTGTGAATTGTTTTCGTTTTGCTGAAAGAACGCACACCTTTTTGTGATCCGTGGACAGAACCTTAAAACGGTGGTTGTGTTTAAAATTCCGTAACTTGAAAAGTACATGAGTGATTTGTATGATTTTTAAACTAAAAGAAAGCTGATGAATTGGGCTTTTATATCCTAGATTTGAAAGTGCTACATGCAGAACTTCAATAAAACAGTAGCCCCGATACTTGGGTTTCGGGGTTTTTTTTGGCACCGGCCTGTATAAATAAATAACGCTAAACCTCGGCCGTGCCCTCTCAGTTTAATTAATTGTTTTTCTACATATGTTTTCGGAATTAAATGACCTTAAGTGACGACACCAACGAAAACAAATTTGCGGGTACTGATAGCCTAGCTATAGTTATGAACTGTAGGCCTATACAGCACAGCTGAGAGCTTTTCAATTCCAGTTCTGTACTATTAGCTAACTAACCAGTGTTTTCAATAAATGACTTGATGATACAAGGGGAGCGCCTAAGGGTCGCGCGTTTGACACGGCCCACTAGTCATCCTTCCTCCCAGTGGGCGGGAACGTCTTCATAATCCATATCTCCTAACCAATATGCGAGTTTAAACCCTCTGATCTCAATTGACCGTGACAGACAGTTTGTCACAACTTCTATTAGTCTTAGTTTCGAGATCCTGCGGATAGTTCACTTTTAGAAGTCACGCTTTGTGTGTGTGGTTTTTTCAACAACGAGAAGAATCGAGCATGTTTGGCTGACATTTCGGGGTAGATGTTAGGATAAGTTAGGCCGAGTTTTGAACCCTTGGCCGTTATATCTTTAAGACGGGAGGACTTCTTTGGGCGTCTTATCCGCTAATTCTTTCCAAAAGTGACAACTTGAGGCTCCATGTCTATCGGCGGATTCAAAGCAACGCTCTTATCAGTTTTCCTCTCAAAGTTTCTTTTGGTATTGAACTATAGTAGGGCCTACCCTTTTTTGTATCTTTGAAGGGCAATTTCCTTGAATAGTTTAGGGCTTTTGTAATCATTCATTTAAATCTCCTGGGTATTTAAAGATTACAGTTCTATAGCTTTTACATGATCTATGTCTTCCGCTGGTTTATGAGATGTTTGACGTTTTGCTTCCCTTTTCCGGTTTGCGAGGCTGGAAT